CTCAATATTTAGAAAAAAGCAAATCTTGCAAAAAACACGATTAACTTTAAGTTCCTCAGTAAGTTTCAATGTTTTGCAGAAAAATGGGTTAATCAAGACCATAAAATACTTGTTCTTGCCTGAATACAGAAAACAAAAGTCAGGCCAAGTAATGACATCAAAATGCACTAAATAAGATAGATTTTTTCAGTATTTGTCTAAGATTCGCTCTGGTGCTATCGATTTCTTATCTCAACAAGACTGCTCGTATCAGGGCGAAGCCCTGAATCTTCCAACTGCCTTTCAAGGTTTTATGGTGCAGTAATAACATTAAAAAATTAATTGTAATAAAAAAAAAAAATTTCTAAAATTTGAAATTTTTTATGAAAATCATCTCTCCACACGCCATTTAAAGTACAAAAAGATAGATTTAGCTCCTTGTTACAAATCAGTTATGGCAAATAAGCTTCTTTCAACCAATTTGGAACGATTTATAAGACTGATTAACTCTCCGCTTATGCGTTAATAGCGCGGAATATGTATCGCGCGTTAATTGTCCCAAATTGGCCAAAATGGCAATCTTTAAACCCCCGTAACTTTACGAAAAATAATCACAGGTGAAATATAAACATTGGAACCCATTTGTTGATTGTTTTTGTTTTAGAAAAAGTGGGTTAATCAAGCACAGATTTGAATTTTTTTGTCTGACCAGAGAAAATGAAAGTCAAGCCGAATAATGTTCTCAGTACGCATTCGGTTACATAAATTTTCAACCCTGCAGAAAACTTCATTTTTTCTCAAGAGTTGCATAGGTATTATCAAATTTTTTAAAATAACAAACAATGAATTCTTTTTGTTCAATGTTTTAGTAGAAAAGTGGTTCCACCAGGAACAGCATTTGTCTGGTCCTGCCTGCGAACTGCATCAGTACCTATGGTAAATAAAATTTACGGTTGCTTAAGTTTCGCTCTGAAAAATTAGAAATTTATGCTTGGTTTTCAAACATACGTGAAAACGTATGAATTTGTTGCATAGAGTCCCAGATATAATCCTCGTTACTTTGTGTCTGTATAATCCTTGATTCCAGAGACAAGGCGTGAAACATGTTAAAAATTTGTCGGAATGATCACAGAAATTGAAAAAGAAAAGAAGAACAAAACGAGCGTGCGCCATTGTTGCGGAATCCACTAACAATTCACAAAATGCAGTTTGACGTCGTAATGGATGCCAATTTTCACCTCTTTTTTGAGTCTTTTATGGCGCATCTGAATATCTACCCTTAAATAGACCAAGTGAACGAGCTCCATCAAAAATTAATTGACAAATTCAGAGAGTACACTCTTGAAACTTGTCGAGTGACTGTTCCGCGATTTATCGTGAATTTTTTTTCTAATGTTCAACTCGATAAAATGGGTTTTTTTTCACAATCAATTTCCGTTTTATGGATTACAAGCACAAAACATTTTTGTAAACGGTACGATACCATACGTGCAAAGTTAGACAAAAAATCATGTAAATGTCTAGAAACTCGGGTGTCCGTTGTGTACCGAAAGATCGTTTGAACGTACCCAAAAACTTTCAAACTGTTCCAATGCGCTTAGATAAGATTGTTGCATAGAATAGGTTGTTCCCATATGGGTTTAGCGTGAGTTGTAAATTTGGATGATCATTTGTCATAAGCCTTCTCAAGATCAAAAAAATTGGTAAAACCAGCTTTTTTTTATTCAATACAATGATGCGCTATTTCAAACGCAGATGTTTTTGCTTGTGCACGCGAGTAGCTTCGCGAGAACACTTCAACTGTTCGGGCTTTAAGAGTTTACATTGAGATATAAATTTCATCATTCGAAGATGAATAATTTTGTTCAAAAATTATTCTGAAAATACTTAACAAACGTGCAGAACGAAAACTATATTGGTCTGTCTGTATTCCTGTTTTGTATAATAGCCGTATTTTGGCAATTTTGCAGCTACAAAGAGAAAGAGCCTTATCAAACCAAAAAATTTGGCCAACAAAAGATTTGGCTAAGCAATGCTCAAGTTTAAAAAGAAGGTAGCATGCTGTAGTTTCTTCGATCAAACTGTTAAAGTTCCGATATTTCCTTAAGCTTTTCGGATCTATTTAACAACCTCCCCCTTTTGTATCTTCTAAAGAATATCGACCTGCATTCTGATTGGTCGTAAATTTTGCTGCAAGTAATCTACTTCGCAATCTCCGCCCTTACTTGAAGGGGGGTGAGAGATTGTTAAATAGATCCAATTTTTCTTTTCAGGTTGTCTATCTAGATTGATGTTAATTAACTGTGCGTAATGATCACTAATTGTACATTTCAGTGTGAAAATATTGTGGAAAGCTTTTGAACTTGCATGATTCGAGCAAGACCAAATTCTCGAGTAGGTTTCTCATTTAACACTTTGAAACCGAATGATGTCAGTATTTTTTAATAATCTGCTAAAAAGGTTGTATTTCCTCATAGATCAATTTTAGGATCCCCACAAAACAAATTTTGTCCTTTAATGTGATGTGTTTCATTGAGTAAATCCAGGTTCAGCAAAAACTTGCTTTGATTTCCCGTTGGTCGTCAAAATCTCGATTGCCTAATGTAATCAAAAGTTATCCGTATCATTAGCAGAAAATTTTAAAGAACCGTTGACCGATTTGTAACAAAAGAAGACTGCTCGTATCAGGGCGATGCTCTGAATGTTCCGTGCCTTTTAAGGTTTATGGAGCAGCAGTAATAACATACAAAAAAATTAAATGAAACAAAATAAAAAAAAAAATTTTTCTAAAATTTGAATATTTTTATGAAAATCATCTCCCCACACGCCATATAAAATACAACAAGGCTGCTCGTATCAGGGCGAAGCCCTGAATGTTCCGACTGCCTTTTAAGGTTTATGAAGCAGCAGTAAAAACATAAAAAAATTAAATGAAATAAAACAAAATGAATTTTTTTTTTAATTTGAAATTTTTTATGAAAGTCATCCCCCCACACGCCTTATAAAGTACAAAAAGAGAGATTTTGTTCCTTGTAACAAATCAATTGTGGCAAATAAGCTTCGTTCAACCAATTTGGAACGATTTATAAGACGGATTAAATCTCCGCTTATGCGTTAATAGCGCGAATTCTATCGCGCGTTAATTGTCCCAAACTGGTCAAAATGGCAATCTTTAAACCCTCATGACTTTACGAAAAATGATCACAGGTGAAATATCTTTCCAAATTTAAGCTCAGTACAACAATACCTTTTGAATGATGTAAAAAAATTCCGTCAAAAATGGCTAGTTATAAAGTCGAAATTGATCTGAAGAAAAAAAAAAGCCACCCCGAGCACAAATATTCCGTTACTTCCATATCGAACGTCGGAACAACAAGCTTCATTGTCTCCTTTCTTATAAACACTACTTTTTAGTAATATTAGTCTGATAGCCATCAATGCCCAATATGATTATGTAAGCCAGGTTCCACATAGAGTTACCAGGGCCAGAGTTTTGACTCCTTCAAGTTTGAAAAGATCACGTGGGCATCTACGTAATTGTATACTTAGAAGGAGGACATATACATTTTCGCAAACCTTTGTTCATCCTCAAACTCTTTACCCTCAAAAGGTCTGTCATAGTTGAATCAAAACTAAAAAGCTTAACAAGACTGCTCGTATCAGGGTGAAGCCCTGAATGTTCCGACTGCCTTTTAAGGTTTATGGAGCAGTAATAACATTAAAAAATTCAATGAAATAAAACAAAATGAAAATTTTTTTTCTTCGAAAATTTGAAATTTTTTATGAAAATCATCCCCCCACACGCCATATAAAGTACAAAAGGATAGATTTCGCTCATTGTAATAAATCAATTATGGCAAAGAAGCTTCTTTCAAACAATTTGGACTGATTTCTAAGACGGATTAACTCTCCGCTTACGCGTTAATAGCGCGAAATATATCGCGCGTTAATTGTCCCAAATTGGCCAAAATGGCAATCTATAAACCCCCGTAACTTTACGAAAAATGATCACAGGTGAAATATCTTTTCAAATTTGAGCTCAGTACAACAATACCTTTCGAATGATTAAAAAAAATTATGTCAAAAATGGCTGGTTAAAAAGTCGAAATTTGTCTGAAGAAAAAAAAACCCACCCCGAGCACAATTATTCCGTTACTTTCGTATCGAAAGTGGGAACAAAAACTGAACTTTGCTGAATTAATTTTGACTGTTTACGTCAGTTTCCTAAACATTTCTTTTCTGGAGCGTTTAAGGTTTGCTATTTTTCCATGGTGGAGATAGACTACAAGTTATCACTGTTTCCAACAAATCATAGCATAAACTGTCCAATTTTTTGTCGGTATTCAAATTCCCTTTTGATTGCTTTTTCGCATTTCACAACATCTGCGTTTCCATTAGTTTGTCTCATTATTGGAATAAAACAAATCAAAAGGATTGTTTGTCTCGTTATTCAAATCAGACAAATCAAAAGGATTGTTTGTTCCGCCGCACTTTAATAAAATTTAAATTAAGACCATTTATCCACAAGGGAAAGGACCAACATACGAGCTGTTCAGCTCTTGACAGAGAGCCGTTGTTGTGCCCCTGGTTAGGAACTACATGCAATTTTTTGGTTAGTTTTCTGGGCTGGGTAATGTTGCCTTACTCTCAAGCACCGAGCACGGATCATGGTGGGTCTCGAACATCCGACCTTTCGATTGAGAGGCGGAGACGTAACCACTTCAACACCGCTCCACTAAAATTTGTCGAGTTGGTCATAATTGTCTAACAACACGAAGAAAAGAACTTGTTACTTTACTTTGTCCATATCATTTTTTGAGTTCACTCGAACCCATTTTCACCCATTTTCATTGATGGTTGACAGTGGCTGGTTTTTACCAGTAGATGTCGGTCCCTAGCATAATTCACAACATCACATTATCCAAAACTTTTGAACCGAAACATTTGGCTTTTCTGGAAGTACGACAAAAGCTAGGTTAAATTGATGGTTTTGAAAATTTTAAGAAAAACACTCACAATCTGACAAAAGTGTATATTTTGTGGCCTCAAAAGTTTTCTCGTGTTTCTTTTAGCTAGCATTTTTCGTGAGACAAATGGCCCATGATGTGATCATGCCTCCTCAAATTATGGCCTTTATATGTAATTATCACCCCATCTGCGATCTGCTGCAGATAATTTTCTATCGCATAGATTAAAAACGGGGCCTTTTCAGCAAACACTTCGTGATCGAAAACGTCCATATCCTTTGCTTGGAATAAATAGTAATCGCCGAAGAAATGTTGAATCGCTTGAATGTGACGACTTGTATCATTTAAGTCGCTCATTAAATAGATTACGTCACTCTCTCTTTTAATTCCGAGACGTGTTATTTTAAACATCAGGGCTTCGGGTCTTAGCTGTTCCAAAGCACATGGTCTGTCTGTACCCCTCAAGTGAATCACAATAAAACGATCAATTGAGTTCGGTCTCCTCTTTTGCGATGTTGAAATCACGTGAGCGTCTTTCAGACATTTCGCCTTGATAAAATGTCCAACGGTCTGAATGAACTTCGAAAAAGGTTTGCGCTGGAAATTGTAGATCACTTTCATCAAATTGGTTGCCTTTTTTCTGAAATGATTGGGATCAGCATAATGTATTCTGTGCATCGTTGACTTTGAAGTTTTCTTGTCGTATTTGCCGTATTCAATACTAAGGACGCTTCCACTTGCCTTATTTCTGTATATGTATTCTGCGTCCACCATTCTGAGCCTGCATTTCTTAGAGATCATCTGGAACAAAAACTGTAAATTTAATCTGGAAAATATATATATATATATATATATATATATATATATATATATATATATATATATATATAAGTAATCAAGAAAAAAAATTATTGAGATAATCTTGAAAAAAAAATTAGTCCAAATGTCTCATTAATTGTTCTGACCGAACATTTGTGCTCACCCGTACTAGAGTTTCCTTGATGTTGATTATTTTTTTGAGTTTTTGTTATCAGTCTTTATAACATTGCAGATAAAATCTATTAAAATGAGATAAAATTGGATTCGAAATTTACTATTTTGCAAAGCAACTAGTTTTGATTTATTTATGAATAGACAACCCAATAAGTGGACGTTGCATGCAACGTGAGTGCCAATCTACCCTGGGTTGGGTTATAAAACCCAGGACTTGGACGATCTCGAGAAAACTATGTTAAATTAAACGGTACCGAGTGGCAGCCAGTACAATTATAGTTTCTCCGATTCGTAGAGGATCTATGAAAAGCTGTTCAGCCTGCCTAAGCGTCGTAAGTTTCTCCTATGGTAAACAGTTTTCACCAATCAAGAAGTCTTTAAAAAATCAGTAGATTTGAATTTTAATTTAATGGTGTCTTCTTTTTTATCTTAACTAGAACAAATACATAAATTGTGATTTTTTTCCCGCAAACTTATCAAACTTGATAAATGCCAACAAGCCAATTTGGAACAAATAACGCGTGGTAGGTTTCGCTCGGTGTAATTTAAATGGTTTTTGAAAGTAAACTTTCAAAAAAATGAAACTATTTCATTGATTTTTATTCAAATTTTTAACAAAATCATATTTAAAACCATGATAGCCGCTTGCTTTGCAAGTTGCACAAAATGTTCGACCAGAAAAAAAAAACCTGAAAATTGTTTCATGTTTTTTAATCAAATTAGAGTTTTCTTATGTGCATGGTGTGATGAAAAGATCTGACTAAACATAAATTGCAAATGTATTTCAAATATCAATCATTTTTAGCATTCCAGTCAACTAAAACTTTCACTAAAGTGTCTTAATCTGATGTTTTTTCGTTAAAAAAGTATAAAATACCAGTTTGTCGAAATGAGTTTTGAAATATACACTACGGCGATGTTTCTAATTATTGAGCCATTTGTAACTTACGTTGGCGAATTTGAGCGTGTATACCATTTGACTGACATCAGCAATATGGGACCAAGTCCAGCCGTGCACAAAACTAAAAGGCCAGTCAGGGTTCGCATTGGACTGTTTTACAGGTCTGTTGTTTTTGTCTCGCATGTGGACAGCATTGAAACCAGGGCGGTAGTCAACAAGCGTTCTGTTGATCGAAACAGCAAAGTGGGCGGCGCCCATGAAATCGTCCATTTTGTGCAGTAGTCCCGAATTTCCCAAATCTGGAATCAACTTTTTTTTTAGTTTTTCATATGCAAAGTTTTTTGTCATATATTCGCTATACATCCAGACAAAATCAGTGAAAAAAAAGGATGGAAATTTAATAGAAAAATTATCCATTTTCTTCAAACTTGTTATACAAAAAATTCAACATAGCAATGGCTTTTTTGGTTGATGGAAACGCTTCATACACTTTAATTACACTTTAATTACCGGATCATATTTTGGTGGAATACTTCAGTTCTTTATGGTTTTATTGACTCTGAATCATTTTCAGTTTAACTTAATTTATTTTCCACCAAAAAGGCACGCTTTCAACGAAAAAGCGCGCAGTTTCAACCAAAGGTGAGCCAAATTTTTTTAAAACATCCTTTTTCCTAATAGACAATAAACTGTGATGTTGAAACTTTTCATACATATAATTTTTTAACTTGGTATGGGCTTGTACATAAGAGGCTCGTTTTGATAGATCTGTTCAAAATTAGCCGATAAAATTTGCGTAAATTTTGATCAGACAAGGTGAGCCAAAAATGTACAATACAAATCTTTTTTTCATTCTTCTTTGTCTGCGTTTAACCAAATTTAAGGAAAATAGAGAAAAAATTTGTTTAAAACTTTTTCTGGCTCAGTTTTTTGAGCAATGTTTTTTTTGTGACCCAATTTTTGGGAAAAAAGACGAAACGTGTTTACTTGGTATGGCTGACTTTGGTCAAACAAATTTCGACAACCTAACTTTTAATTTGTACGAAAAACTTGCCAATTTGGCCAAATTGGGACAATTAACGCGCGATAAATTTCGCGCTATTAACGCGTAAGCGAGATTTAATCCGTCTTAGAAATCGTTCCAAATTGGTTCAAGGAAGCTTATATGCCATAATTGATTTGTTAATAGGCGCAAAATCTATCAATTTGTACTTAATATGACGTGTGGGGGGATGTTTTTACATAAAATCTCAATTTTTTTTTATTACTTTGAAAATTTTCATCTTATTAATGCTCCATAGACCTTAAAAGCAGTCGGAACTTTCAGGGCTTCACCCTAATACGAGCAGTCTTGTTTTGATTTGTTTTTGAATAGACAACCCAATAAGTGGACGTTGCATGCAACGTGAGTGCCAATCTACCCTAGGTTGGGTTATAAAACCCAGGACTTGGACGATCTCGAGAAAACTATGTTAAATTAAACGGTACCGAGTGGCAGCCAGTACAATTATAGTTTCTCCGATTCGTAGAGGATCTATGAAAAGCAGTTCAGCCTGTCTAAGCGTAGTAGGTTTCTCTTATCGTAAAGAGTATTTTTTCCCCGCAAATTTATCAAACTTGATAAATGCCATTTAGCCAATTTGGAACAAATAACGCGTCGTAGATTTCGCTCGGTGTAATTTATATGTTTTTTGAAAGTAAACTTTCAAAAAATGAAAGTTTTTCATTAACTTTTATTAAAACTTACAACAAAATCATTTTTAAAAACATGATAGCCGCTTGCTTTGCAAGTTGCACAAAATGTTCGACCAGAAAAAAAAACCTGAAAATTGTTTCATGTTTTTTAATCAATTTAGAGTTTTTTTATACGCATGATGTGATGAAAAGATCTGACTAAACCTAAATTGCAAATGTATTTCAAATATCAATTATTTTTAGCATTCCAGTCAACTAAAACTTTCACTAAAGTGTCTTAATCTGATGTTTTTTTGTAAAAAAAAGTATAAAATACCAGTTTGTCGAAATGAGTTTTAAAATATACACCACAACGATGTTTCTAATTATTGAGCCATTTGTAACTTACGTTGGCGAATTTGAGCGTGTATACCATTTGACTGACATCAGCAATATGGGACCAAGTCGAGCCATGCACAAAACTAAAAGGCCAGTCAGGGTTCGCATTGGACTGTTTTACAGGTCTGTTGTTTTTGTCTCGCATGTGGACAGCATTGAAACCAGGGCGGTAGTCAACAAGCGTTCTGTTGATCGAAATAGCAAAGTGGGCGGCGCACATGAAATTATCCATTTTGTGCAATAGTCCAGAATTTCCCAAATCTGGAATCAACTTTTTTTTTAGTTTTTCTTATGCAAAGTTTTTTGTCATATATTCGCTATACATCCAGACAAAATCAGTGAAAAAAAAGGATGGAAATTTAATAGAAAAATTATCCATTTTCTTCAAACTTGTTATACAAAAAATTCAACATAGCAATGGCTTTTTTGGTTGATGAAAACGCTTCATACACTTTAATTACAGTTAAATTACCGGATCATATTTTGGTGGAATACTTCAGTTCTCTATGGTTTTATTGACTCTGAATCTACGTAAGCTTAACTTAACTTTTTTTCCACCAAAAAGGCACGCTTTCAACGAAAAAGCGCGCAGTTTCAACCAAAAGTGAGCCAAATTTTTTTAAATCATCCTTTTTCCTAACAGACAATAAACTGTAATGTTGAAACTTTTCATACACAGCATTTTTAAACTTGGTATGGGCTTGTACATAAGAGGCTCGTTTTGATAGATCTGTTCAAAGTTAGCCGATAAAATTTGCGTAAATTTTGATCAGACAAGGTGAGCCAAAAATGTACAATACAAATCCTTTTTTCATTCTTCTTTGTCTGCGTTTAACCAAATTTAAGGAAAATAGAGAAAAAATTTGTTTAAAACTTTTTCTGGCTCAGTTTTTTGAGCAATATATTTTTTGGCCCAATTTTTGGGAAAAAAAGACGAAACGTGTTCACTTGGTATGTTTTACTTTGGTCAAACAAATTTCGACAACCTAACTTTTAATTTGTACGAAAAACTTAACAACATTTTAACAAAATTGATGCTTATTTTATGCACCCGATAAAGGTTTCTCTGCCTGATATCTGTTTAGTCAACTTTGTAGAATGTTTCAAAGCTGCCAATATGCGACAAGTAATGACCTCTTAACCTACAAAATTTCGATGAACGCGTAGCGTAGCGTTAACGAATATTTGTTCCGCCTCAGAAATCAATTTTAGAGTTCCGACTTTCGAAGAAAATGCGGAATAACTATGCTTGGTGTGGTTTTTTATTCAGTCAACTTTCAACTGGTTAACTAAGCGTTTTCGACAGATTTTTTTAACCATTTGAGAGATATTGTTATCCTAAGCTCAAAGTTAAAAAAATAATTTACCTTTAATCCTTTTTAAAGTGCGATATATTGCGTACTTATAATACAACTAAGAAGCAAATTAATGCGTTTCAAATTGAATTGGGGCCAGCATATTAGTCCTATCATCACAATACGAGACGCTAAAAACACTCCTAGTGTTTTACAGAGCTTGAGGGGGATAAAATGAAGAAAAAAAGAAAAAATCTATTTTTTTCCCAATTTTTTTGTCAACTTTTTATAGAAAAAACTTTTCAATTGGCCTTAAGTGCAGTGGCAAAATTCAGGCCTTTACTCTGAAAATCTAGAAGTCTTGTTTCGATCATAATCAGCTAACTGATACACAAATTTTGTTAGGACAAATTATCACTTTGTATTTGGAATAGTTTGTGGAGGAAAGATGTAGATAAAAATCGAGAAACGTTTTTGAAATAAATCACAATTTTAAAGTTTTTCAGACGCAATAAAATGTGTCGGCATCAAGGCAAAACTTGAACTATTTTAGCTGTTCTTCAACATATGAAAAATTAAAAATTCCGTTTTTTTTCTGATTTTTCAAAAAGCTGTTTTTTCTGATTTTTCTGATTACTATAGTCATTTGATAAAAAAAACTTAACTCAATTCAACTCGGAACATAATCTGAGCGGAAACCAATAGCCGCTTACAACTAAATAATACAAACTATCAAAATTTAACCAATTTATCAATTAATTTTACCCAAATCAAATACAGGTTAAACAGATATCGAGATTTCAAAACAAGAAAAAGAAAGCTCTCACTGATATCACAAAACGGAAATCAACAATTTGCGTTCTTTTTGAAAATATATTCCAAGTATGTAAAGGGTATTCAGATGATTCAAATCACCGCTTTGATTTCGTCAATTTTGGTTCTGACAAATCGTTCTGGAAAAGTGATCAAAAATTCAAAATTTTGATTATATATTTGTTAATATTTCTTTTTTTTTCAAAATTAATTATTAATTTTTTAAAGAAGAAAGAAGTTTTCTGGATCTTTATAGCACACGCAATGAAAATATGAATCAACGCAAAAAAAATTACTAGTTTTATTGTGTCATGATTTAGCATGACCAAGAAATTCAAATTAGCGAAAATTAATTACTTCACGCGCGATGCGTAATTGATTATAACTACAAATGGAACATTGCTAGCCGGTTGCTTTGCACGTAGCATAGAAAATTCAGACCACAAAAGAACCTAACAAAAACAGTTTTTGCTTTCAAATTGTTTCATTTTTCGTTCGTAACGTGATTAAAAGATTTTATTACAAGGCTTAAAATTAGTTATTTTTGATAGCCATAGTGTAATTGGCATAATGAGCATTATATTTCTTCCAAAAATGAAAAAGAAAACAACAAGACTGCTTTTTAAGGTCTGTGGAGCAGTGTGAACATGAAAATATTGAATGTCATAAACTAAAATGAATTTTTTTTTTAAAGTTGAGATTTTTTGTGAAAATCATCACCCCACATGCCATATAAAGTACAAAAGGATAGAATTTGCTCCTAACATATCAATTATGACAAATAAGCTTCTTTCAACCAAATTGGAACAATTTCTAAGACGGATTATTTCTCCGCTTACGCGTTAATAGCGCAAAATATATCGCGCGTTAATTGTCCCAAATTGTCGAAAATGCCATCTTTAAACGCCCATAACTTTACAAAAAATGATCACATGTAAAATATTACACACAGGACACGTTTCAAATTTAAGCTCAGGACAATATTATTTTTTGAATGATATAAAAAATTCCGCAAAAATGGCTAGTTAAAAAGTCGAAATTTGTCTGAAGAAAAAATCCCACCCGACCACAAAATCTCTGTTACTTTCGTTAGGAAAGCCGGAACAATAAAGCTATCTTGACTGGAGTAATTAAAAATATATGATTTAATTGAAATTTATCCTCCATTTACAGACCATGCTCGCTTACTTTATCTAAATTAGACTAAAAATTCCCTAGGGACGGAAGTGCCCGTCAGCTTTTTTGACTTGTTTTTTTTCTTCAAACTTTGGCCTGCGGTGAATAAGTTTTTGTTGAAATGGGGTCTTTATAGTGTTCTGGGAACACTCGGAAAATCCATTTGGTCAACCTAAAAAACATCAAAGATTTCGAAATTTTTTGTGAAATTATTTTAAAAAATAAAAACTGCAGAACATACTTGGAATCTAACAAACTGGTCATTTCTTTGGCAGTAAGGGATTTTCGGGGGAATCACTTTCTTTTTGGTCAATTTTGGTCTTTCGTCAATTTTGGTTCTGACAAATCGTTCTGGAAAAGTGATCAAAAATTCAAAATTTTGATTATATATTTGTTAATAATTCTTTTTTTTTTCAAAATTAATTATTAATTTTTTAAAGAAGAAAGAAGTTTTCTGGATCTTTATAGCACGCGCAATGAAAATATGAATCAACGCAAAAAAAATTACTAGTTTTATTGTGTCATGATTTAGCTTGACCAAGAAATTCAAATTAGCGAAAATTAATTACTTCACGCGCGATGCGTAATTGATTATAACTACAAACGGAACATTGCTAGCCGGTTGCTTTGCACGTAGCATAGAAAATTCAGACCACAAAAGAACCTAACAAAAACAGTTTTTGCTTTCAAATTGTTTCATTTTTCGTTCGTACCGTGATTAAAAGATTTTATTACAAGGCTTAAAATTAGTTATTTTTGATAGCCATAGTGTAATTGGCATAATGAGCATTATATTTCTTCCAAAAATGAAAAAAAAAAAACAACAAGACTGCTTTTTAAGGTCTGTGGAGCAGTGTGAACATGAAAATATTGAATGTCATAAACTAAAATGAATTTTTTTTTTAAAGTTGAGATTTTTTGTGAAAATCATCACCCCACATGCCATATAAAGTACAAAAGGATAGAATTTGCTCCTAACATATCAATTATGACAAATAAGCTTCTTTCAACCAAATTGGAACAATTTCTAAGACGGATTATTTCTCCGCTTACGCGTTAATAGCGCAAAATATATCGCGCGTTAATTGTCCCAAATTGTCGAAAATGCCATCTTTAAACGCCCATAACTTTACAAAAAATGATCACATGTAAAATATTACACACAGGACACGTTTCAAATTTAAGCTCAGGACAATATTATTTTTTGAATGATATAAAAAATTCCGCAAAAATGGCTAGTTAAAAAGTCGAAATTTGTCTGAAGAAAAAATCCCACCCGAGCACAAAATCTCTGTTACTTTCGTTAGGAAAGCCGGAACAATAAAGCTATCTTGACTGGAGTAATTAAAAATATATGATTTAATTGAAATTTATCCTCCATTTACAGACCATGCTTGCTTACTTTATCTAAATTAGACTAAAAATTCCCTAGGGACGGAAGTGCCCGTCAGCTTTTTTGACCTGTTTTTTTCTTCAAACTTTGGCCTGCGGTGAATAAGTTTTTGTTGAAATGGGGTCTTTATAGTGTTCTGGGAACACTCGGAAAATCCATTTGGTCAACCTAAAAAACATCAAAGATTTCGAAATTTTTTGTGAAAATATTTTTAAAAATAAAAACTGCAGAACATACCTTGGAATCTAACAAACTGGTCATTTCTTTGGCAGTAAGGAATTTTCGGGGGAATCACACTCTTTTTGGCGTCAATTAGTGTTGTTAGAAAACCAGAAATAATAAGAATTTCAGAAAGAGAAGTCGATACAGTTGAAGTATAATAAGTATTAAGTTGTTGTATCATTGTTGCTGTCTGCTGTTGCCACTTGTTAACAAACAAATAGTGGAAACAAATAGTGGAAAAACGCAATTGTTTGTCACTCCGTACTTGCAACGAGCTGAAGATCGTTGCATTTGTTTGTGAATTCCAGTTGTTGCTGAACCATTTTTTCTGCACTATAATAAACCATGAAATAAGTCAAAAATTGATTGTGAAGTCACTGCGATTTGTAACCTTCGTGAATCTTGTTGATAAGAAAGATCATGCTTTGGCAAATGCTGAACAGCTATTACTATCATCCTTTTGACAGCCGACTAACTTGAGCAAAATCATCTTTTTTTCACTCTAATTTCTAAAAAAATGATTAGGGGTGAGCGGTTCCTCATTGTCTGTGATATCGGATTATAATTACACCAGTTATAAAAAGACCAATGAAAAAAGACTTGTTGTTGACGATTTTTTTTTTTTGCAAAACTACTTATATTTCGCAAAAAAATACAGTTTGGCTTCGTAATTTGGCTAGTTCTGAGCTATGATGAACCATTCAAATGAATTTCATTTCATCATAGCTCATTTTTGAAATGCATTTTTTACCTGGTTCCAGGTTGTGGTTTTAAGATCAGACGGTCGCGAACAAATTGTGTATTTCCAAGTGCCAAAAAAGGACATTTAAAGACCGCCGCGACTAATTTTTTGACCCCGCGACTGTTTTTTCTACCCCCGCGACAAAATTTGCGGCCGCCGCGACTAATTTTTTTCTACCCCCGCGACAAAATTTGCGGCCGCCGCGACTAATTTTTTGACCCCGCGACTGTTTTTTCTACACCCGCGACAAAATTTGCGGCCGCCGCGACTAATTTTTTGACCCCGCGACTGTTTTTTCTACCCCCGCGACAAAATTTGCGGCCGCCGCGACTAATTTTTTGACCCCGCGACTGTTTTTTCTACCCCCGCGACAAAATTTGCGGCCGCCGCGACTAATTTTTCGACCATCGCGACCGAGATACAATACTCCCAGAGTTTGTGCGCGACTTAAAACGCTGCCGAGACTATGGATTTTACTGGCGGAATTAGCCTTTCTGCGACCGACAATGTCCAAAAATTAGTCGCGGACCTCGACCCGGGTATACAACTGTAACAATGACAAACTGAAAATTGAAATTTGAAAATTTTGAAATGCATTTAATTAAAAAACTGTGACACTGACAAATTTAATTTCGGCTATCTTCTCAATTTAGTTACACTCGGATAGCTGGTCGTCTAATTTCCTAAGCCCTGTGCTAAGCGATGAAGCCTGATTATGGTATTTTCCAAAGAATTCTCATTTTCTAGATTTGCTTTGAACTGTCGCTGACAAATTGTTGCCAAGCCAGTTGTAAAAATCCGCACTGGGGATTTGAATGAGCCCCCTTAACAAGGTGCTTACTTTTTGTTTCGACTTTCAAAGCCGCCCACAAGTGCTCGATCAAGAAACAATTGCCGAGACACGGGGTTGGGTCGAGCACAAACTCGAAACATAGCGCAAGCACGGTCGAATCATATCAAAATTCCAATGACAGGGGAGAGACGACTTTTATTTGTGTTCTTTTTTGGTGTAATTTGCATCTAACAGCACTTGAACGCAATGAAAACTGAGTAGCTTTGATCATAGATAAAACAATTAAATGCTTGTGGCTAAAATAAAGAGAGACGGCTAAGTATAAAGAGAAACGCACTCAAAGATTCAACGGCAAAGATAAAAGAGAAATGCTGACTAAAAAAGCTAACTCCTAAAGATTTAGGAAATATGAGAAATGACTTAGGGACAGTTTCAACGATATTTCGAGCAATGTTTTCGTATAATGGTTTAAATAATCCAAGAAAATGCGCATTTGGAAGTCCTGATAAAAAGGTTAGGGTCCTAGCCCGGTCACTTTTTGGCAACGAGGTTTGCAGAAAGTGACATGAGCAGGGAAATTTATGTAGCCAAAAAGTGACACCAAAAAGTGACATAATTGATGTCACTTTTTGGAACTTGAGGTTAACACCAAAAAATGACAAGGGTCTACTTTTTTGGAAAATAGCTGAAATGGTCTGAAAACCCTTATTAAAATCCAAAAATAACAAAAAGGTTCTTACTCTTTTGAGTAAACACAAAAAAACTAGAGTTTACAGAGTTTTCAACAAGGAAATTGACTAAAAGTTAGAAAATAAGAGAAAAACAGCCCAAAAAGTGCCCAACCCCAAAAATACCCTTGCCCCAAAATCAACGAAATAACCAAAAAATCGATAATAAACTGAAATAAAAAAATAATGTTACGATCTAAACCTTTTTCTAGATGGGAATTGACATAAAACTATAGTAAAAACATGAAATTGAGTATTTGACGCCCAACCCTAAAACTGGGGTGTAGCAAAAGCCTGATTTTCTCAATCTCATTGTTTTCGGAAATTTGCTGAAACTCGTCTGAAAACACTTAGTAAGTTTAAAAAATACCAAAAAAAAACAAAAAGTTTGTTATATCTTTGAGTAAACAAAAAAACTAGAGAATAGCATTATCAATAAACAATTGATTAAAAATGAAAAAAAAGAGAAAATGAGCTCAACTCCAAAAAATATCCCTAGCCCCAAAATAATCCAACAAACGAAAAATTCGATATGAAGCTGAACTATAATATAATGTCTTGGTTAGACCTTCTTTCAAGAGGTGAAGGTTAGCGTGTCGTGTAGGCAATTTAAAAAAATCTGTTAATGTTTTTTTTTGAATATTTTATCTAAGTGAATACTAGTTCAACGACCTTACAAGGCAGTTGGAACATTCAGGGCTTTGCTTTAATACGAGCAGTTTTCTTAGTGATAAATTTTTTGTCTTAAGAACCGTTTAAAAATAGAAGAAGCTTCCATTTACCAGTTCTTGTAGAGATAGATAGTCTGGAGTACCAATCACTGTGAACACGATCAACTGTTCCCTTTACTGTTAAAAAAAAGTTCAATTGTTTTCATCACGGTTAACTTTAAGTACAAAAATTGAGAAAAATATAGACAGTTATTTTTTGAACTATGCAGAAACTTTGAAGACCTTGGCTTTGTTTTTTCTCATGTTGCTAGGTGGCAAAACTAGAAAATTCATGTGTCTTGTTTTCTTACTGCTAAATGTCCATTCGGATGCAAAAGTAGAACTCACCCAAAATGATTAACTTTACAAACGATAGAATTTTTTTTACTAAGTCCAATAGTCAAAAGTATGTTACATATTTTTTGATTTTGTCATCATAGCTCAATGGTTGATACGCTTGATGCTTGAAGACAAATAATCCATTGATAATTTTACTGACCAAAATTTAGAAAAGATTAGTTAATATTCCGTGAGAAAGGAGATCAATTTTGCTTTCGCTACGACATATTGAACAGATTGAAGAGTGGGGTTTTTCATTTTAAAGGAGTGCAAAATTGAAAATCAGACCATTCTTTCTTATTGTTCGGGTTTTCGAAGAAAAAACGGAATTTGTATGCTTGGGTGGATTTTTTTTATGCTGTCAATTTTGGACTTTTTATGAAAGCGTTTCTGAAGGAAATCTCTGATATCATTTGAAAGATGTTGTTGACTGGAGCTGAAAATTTAAAAAAATCACCTTCGATTCTTTTTTTTAAAAAAAAATTTGCGGCTTTGAAACTTGTTTATTTGACCAACTTGGTATAAATAACGTGCGATATATTTTGCTTTTACAACACGCGTAAGCAGCAGGTTCATGCTTTCTGATCTGATCTGAGCCATTTGGTCATAATATTGGAATAGGAGACCCCGATTACATCATTTTTTAGTGTATTAGTGGGTGGGAGATAAAATGCAAGAAAAAATGAAAAACAAACTGTTTCTCTTTTTTTAATTTTGATTGTTTTGTAAGATTTTAAAGCGAACAATTCTTCAAGTAGCCTTAAAACGCAGGCAAAACATTCAAGGCTTTTTTTGCCCTGATGGACGAGCAGCCCGCAGTGACAATAACGGATAAAAATCCAATAGCATCAGAAAAAAAATTAGAATTGTTGTAATTTCATATTGTAAGTTTGTGATTATTTACTTTTAAAAATCGACTAAAATGTTTTTTTCGAAAATATTTTATACTGTCAATCTTCAATGTACATAACCGTTTTCAAAACAATCTAAATTTTTTTATGCCATTTCTTATGCATATTATATAATATTACGATGCCAAAGTGTGCAATGGATTAGCACACAGTTTGATGTCAGTGTGGTCCTGTATTCCAGACACAATTTTTTATACATGTTCGAAAATGTGAGTAGAGTCCACTTACAAAATTTGCGAGGGTTCCGCGTACAAAAACATGTTTTGTAAAAATTGTCGGTATGTTAGTTTTGTCGCGGAATTCGCGACAAGCGAATAAAGCTGTATGTTTCAGAGTCTGAAAATGTGAGCGGTTTCCGCAAATATTTTGGGTGGAAATATTGTTAATGGAACCCATTAACAAAACTTATACCATTGTTCAACTAAAATCAAATATAATAATTTTACACCAGAGTTATGTTTTTGGATCATTTATACTTGAAATACCAAGCAAAATTTGAAATTCATCGCTAACAATCAATTGATTTTCATCAATTTAACAGCGAGTTTGAAATACGTTTATAGTTGATGAGACAGTTCTGAATTGAAAAGAAAACATTAGCGGGGTCATATCAGTTCTTGTATGCCAAAAAAGCTCGCTAGATCCTTGTTAGTATGATCGAAATCCTTTTTTAAATAGATAAGGAACAGGAAAGTCTCAAAAATTTAGTTTCACTATCATCCAAACATAATTTATCACGAGTTATCAAATAATTATCGCAATAAATTATGAAAATGATGAAAATAATCAGATTTGAGTTCAACGTTACACTAATTTGGCCCAAACTAGGCCTATTTTAAAATGTGTTTTTTAGAAGCAATGTTCAAACTAAATTTTATTCTACCGCTGGAGCTGAAAAATATTGTCTCAAACTTGTTTCAGAGCACTCACAACACAGAAAATAGTGAATTTTTTGTTTTTTTATGGTGTTTATTGTTACTGCAGTTTTAAATGTTTTTTGAGCAGCTATTGTAAATTTTAGAAGGCAAATAACCTAGCTGAGATTTCTCATTTCTCAAACAAACTGTTGATTTTTACCAGTTATTGGCATCAAAGTAATTTTTTAAGATAAAATTGATTTTAAGTCTTACCAGGCCAAACTTTGCCTTGAATAGGCGCGCAATAAGTGTGTAGATCACTGGAAACCAGATACAAAACTCTAAACATTTCCCAGGTTGCTAGTGGAACACACTTACAAAAGTTCAGTGAAATTCGCGTTTAAAAATACGT